CAAAGTGTTGTACGACCATCACACAGTATCACTTAGATGTACAGTATACCAAAGTGCTGTACGTCCATCACACAGTATCACTTAGATGTACAGTATACCAATGTGTTGTACGACCATCACACAGTATCACTTGGATGTACAGTATACCAAAGTGTTGTACGTCCATCACACAGTATCACTTAGATGTACAGTATACCAAAGTGTTGTACGTCCATCACACAGTATCACTTAGATGTACAGTATACCAAAGTGTTGTACGTCCATCACACAGTATCACTTAGATGTGCAGTAATACAAAGTGTTGTACAACCATCACACAGTATCACTTAGATGTACAGTATACCAAAGTGTTGTACGACCATCACGAAGTATCACTTAGATGTACAGTATACCAAAGTGTTGTACGTCCATCACACAGTATCACTTAGATGTGCAGTAATACAAAGTGTTGTACAACCATCACACAGTATCACTTAGATGTACAGTATACCAAAGTGCTGTACGTCCATCACACAGTATCACTTAGATGTACAGTATACCAAAGTGTTGTACGACCATCACGAAGTATCACTTAGATGTACAGTATACCAAAGTGTTGTACGTCCATCACACAGTATCACTTAGATGTGCAGTAATACAAAGTGTTGTACAACCATCACACAGTATCACTTAGATGTACAGTATACCAAAGTGTTGTACGACCATCACACAGTATCACTTAGATGTACAGTAATACAAAGTGTTTAGCTGCCATACAACATGCTAGTTCTTGTTTCCTCTTACCTTAAAGCATGCAACATCAATCTTGTCATACAAATGCAGCTGTACATCAATCTGGTCAAACAAATGTAGCTAAACATTAATCTTGTCATACAAATGTAGCTTAACATCAATCTGGTCAAACAAATGTAGCTAAACATCGTTCTGGTCATACAAATGTAACTAAACATCAATCTGGTTATACAAATGTAGCTTAACATCAATCTGGTCATACAAATGTAGGTAAACATCAAGGTGGCCATACAAATGTAGCTTAACATCAATCTGGTCATACAAATGTAGCTTAACATGAATTTGGTCATACAAATGTAGCTTAACATCAATCTGGTCATACAAATGTAGCTTAACATCAATTTGGTCATACAAATGTAGCTTAACATCAATCTGGTCATACAAATGTAGCTTAACATCAATTTGGTCATACAAATGTAGCTTAACATCAATCTGGTCATACAAATGTAGCTTAACATCAATCTGGTCAAACAAATGTAGCTTAACATCGTTCTGGTCATACAAATGTAGCTTAACATCAATCTGGTCATACAAATGTAGCTTAACATCAATCTGGTCATACAAATGTAGCTAAACATCAATCTGGTCATACAAATGTAGCTTAACATCCATCTGGTCATACAAATGTAGCTTAACATCCATCTGGTCATACAAATGTAGCTAAACATCCATCTGGTCATACAAATGTAGCTAAACATCCATCTGGTCATACAAATAAATTGAAATGAATACAAAGAATTTGCTCTATCATCCCTATAGGGCCGCATCTCTCTGGCCCCAGTGGGATCAAATCCACCAGTTATATAGAATAGATGTTTCAGACCAACTTGGGACAGAATCAAAGCATGATGAAGAATAATGCTCTATCTTTCCTATAATTGGGCCCTGCCCCTCTGATCACAAGGGGTTAAGACACACCATTTACTATAAAACAAAATATTTTTTCAAGCAAAGATGCTTCAATCCATTATTTTAAAGCTATTTCCCCTGTTGTGCCCCAACTTGTCTCACCAGGGGGGTGTTTATTCAAAACTGAGTCTCCATCTCTTCACATCAGATTTGGCCAAAATTCAATCATGCCTACAGAACATTTTGACCCAACCCCACCCCTCAGACCCAAGGGGGGTCAGAACTACTACTTTTTCTTACTTGAGTTCCCTTAAAGATGCTTCTGATGAAATTTGGTAAAAATATGTGCTATTATTCAAGACTAGCAGTGACTATAACAAAACATAGTTGATAGACAGACACCGCAATATGCCAAAATTCACTTTCATCAAAGTAACACAGGATTCACTTTCAGCAAGATGACACATGAATTAATTTCATCAAGGTGACAAATGATTCACTTTCATGAAGGTGACATAATTAACTTTCATTAAGGTCACACCAGATTTACTTTCACCAAGGTGACACATGACTTACTTTCACAAAAGTGACACATAATTCACTGTTATGAAGGTTACACATAATTCACTTCCATGAAGGTGATGCATGATTCACTATCACCAAAGTGACACACATGAAGGTTACACATAATTCACTTCCATGAAGGTGACACATAATTCACTTTCACCAAGGTGACACATAATTCACTTCCATGAAGGTGATGCATGATTCACTATCACCAAAGTGACACACATGAAGGTGACACATAATTCACTTTCACAAAGGTGACATATGATTCACTTTCATGAAGGTAACACATAATTCACTTTCACCAAGGTGACACATAATTCACTTCCATGAAGGTGATGCATGATTCACTATCACCAAAGTGACACACATGAAGGTGACACATAATTCACTTTCACAAAGGTGACACATAATTCACTTTCACAAAGGTGACATATGATTCACTTTCATGAAGGTAACACATAATTCACTTTCACAAAGGTGACACATAATTCACTTTCACAAAGGTGACACATAATTCACTTTCACAAAGGTGACACATAATTCACTTTCATGAAGGTAACACATAATTCACTTTCATGAAGGTAACACATAAAGGTGATGCATGATTCACTATCACCAAAGTGACACACATGAAGGTAACACATAATTCACTTTCACAAAGGTAACACATAATTCACTTTCACAAAGGTGACATATGATTCACTTTCATGAAGGTAACACATAATTCACTTTCATGAAGGTGACACATAATTCACTTTCACGAAGGTGACATATGATTCACTTTCACAAAGGTGACACATAATTCACTTTCATGAAGGTAACACATAATTCACTTTCATGAAGGTGACACATAATTCACTTTCACAAAGGTGACACATAATTCACTTTCACAAAGGTGACACATAATTCACTTTCATGAAGGTGACACATAATTCACTTCCATGAAGGTGACACATAATTCACTTTCACGAAGGTGACACATAATTCACTTTCACAAAGGTGACACATAATTCACTTTCACAAAGGTGACACATAATTCACTTTCACAAAGGTGACATATGATTCACTTTCATGAAGGTAACACATAATTCACTTCCATGAAGGTGACACATAATTCACTTTCACCAAGGTGACACATAATTCACTTCCATGAAGGTGATGCATGATTCACTATCACCAAAGTGACACACATGAAGGTGACACATAATTCACTTTCACAAAGGTGACACATAATTCACTTTCATGAAGGTGACACATAACTCACTTTCACGAAGGTGACACATAACTCACTTTCACAAAGGTGACACATAATTCACTTCCATGAAGGTGATGCATGATTCACTATCACCAAAGTGACACATAATTCACTTCCATGAAGGTGACACATAATTCACTTTCACAAAGGTGACACATAATTCACTTTCACCAAGGTGACACATAATTCACTTCCATGAAGGTGATGCATGATTCACTAGCACCAAAGTGACACACAAAGGTCACCAAGGTGACACATAATTCACTTTCACAAAGGTGACACATAATTCTCTTTCACAAAGGTGACACATAATTCACTTTCACAAAGGTGACACATAATTCACTTTCACAAAGGTGACACATAATTCACTTTCACAAAGGTGACACATAATTCACTTTCACCAAGGTGACACATAATTCACTTCCATGAAGGTGATGCATGATTCACTATCACCAAAGTGACACACATGAAGGTGACACATAATTCACTTTCACAAAGGTGACACATAATTCACTTCCATGAAGGTGACACATAATTCACTTTCACCAAGGTGACACATAATTCACTTCCATGAAGGTGACACATAATTCACTTTCACCAAGGTGACACATAATTCACTTCCATGAAGGTGATGCATGATTCACTATCACCAAAGTGACACACATGAAGGTGACACATAATTCACTTTCACAAAGGTGACACATAATTCACTTCCATGAAGGTGACACATAATTCACTTTCACCAAGGTGACACATAATTCACTATCACCAAAGTGACACACATGAAGGTGACACATAATTCACTTTCACAAAGGTGACACATAATTCACTTTCACAAAGGTGACACATAATTCACTTTCACAAAGGTGACACATAATTCACTTTCACAAAGGTGACACATAATTCACTTTCATGAAGGTGACACATAATTCACTTCCATGAAGGTGACACATAATTCACTTTCACAAAGGTGACACATAATTCACTTTCACAAAGGTGACACATAATTCACTTTCATGAAGGTGACACATAATTCACTTTCACAAAGGTGACACATAATTCACTTTCACAAAGGTGACACATAATTCACTTTCACAAAGGTGACACATAATTCACTTTCAAAAAGGTGACACATAATTCACTTTCATGAAGGTGACACATAATTCACTTTCACAAAGGTGACACATCATTCACTTCCATGAAGGTGACACATAATTCACTTTCACCAAGGTGACACATAATTCACTTCCATGAAGGTGACACAATTCACTTCCATGAAGGTGACACATAATTCACTTTCATGAAGGTGACATATAATTCACTTTCATGAAGGTGACACATAATTCACTTTCACCAAGGTGACACATAATTCACTTTCACAAAGGTGACACATAATTCACTTTCATGAAGGTGACACATAATTCACTTTCACAAAGGTGACACATAATTCACTTTCACAAAGGTGACATATGATTCACTTTCACAGAGGTGAAAAATGACTCAATATAATCATGATAAAAAGGAATTGCTTCAATTAACGGGGCAACATTTCCTCCATGTCTGCCACAATAAATGCCACTACTGCCCACACAGCAGCACTTCGGTCCATCTCCTTAGGATTCTGAACTGTCAATGTATCTCCTACAATAGAAGTTTTAAGATTATCAGATAAAAAAACACTGGTTTTATAACAATCACACATCGTAAAATAGGTTGAACCTATAAAAAATTCACATGACAACTTCCCTCTCTCTGAGATCAACACAGAATTGACATAACATCGCTCTCTCTGCATATCAACACAGAATCAACACAACAGCTTCCGTCTCCCTACACCATTAATACAGAATTGACATGACATCGCTCTGTCTGCACATCAACACAGAATCAACACAACAGCTTCCCTCTCCTAACATCATTGATAAAGAATCGACACATCTTCCCTCTCCCTACACCATTAATACAGAATTGACATGACATCTTCCCTCTCCCTACACCATTAATACAGAATTGACACATCTTCCCTCTCCCAATACCATTAATACAGAATTGACATGACAGCTTCCCTCTCTCTACACCATTAATACTGAATTGACATGACAGCTTCCCTCTCCCTACACCATTAATACAGAATTGACACAACATCTTCCCTCTCCCTACAGCATTAATACAGAATTGACATGACATCGCTCTGTCTGCACATCACAGAATCAACACAACAGCTTCCCTCTCCCTACATCATTGATAAAGAATCGACACATCTTCCCTCTCCCTACACCATTAATACAGAATTGACATGACAGCTTCCCTCTCCCTACACCATTAATACAGAATTGACATGACAGCTTCCCTCTCCCTACACCATTAATACAGAATTGACACAACATCTTCCCTCTCCCTACACCATTAATACAGAATTGACATGACAGCTTCCCTCTCCCTACACCATTAATACAGAATTGACATGACAACTTCCCTCTCCCTACATCATTAATACAGAATTGACACATCTTCCCTCTCCCTATACCATTAATACAGAATTGACATGACAGCTTCCCTCTCCCTACATCATTAATACAGAATTGACACAGCATCTTCCCTCTCCCTACACCATTAATACAGAATTGACACAACAGCTTCCCTCTCCCTACACCATTAATACAGAATTGACACAACATCTTCCCTCTCCCTACACCATTAATACAGAATTGACATGACAGCTTCCCTCTCCCTACACCATTAATATAGAATTGACACAACATCTTTCCTCTCCCTACACCATTAATACAGAATTGACATGACAGCTTCCCTCTCCCTACACCATTAATATAGAATTGACACAACATCTTCCCTCTCCCTACACCATTATTACAGAATTGACAAGACAACTTCACTCTTGCTACACACATTAAGTTCCTTTCACTACCATTAGCATACATAGTTATGACTTTATCCTTTCTCTGTCATCACCTTAACAAACAAGATAACAAATTAGAACACATCAGGCTTACCGTCTGTATGGTGATAGTAGAAGTATGAAGAAGTATCTGTGAGTAGACTTGAGCCTGGAACACCATGTGACATCCACATGGCTATATCTGTACCGTCGGCTTCATTTGCCAGTTGAGTAGCATTGATTGGTCGCAGTAGATCAACTACAGACTCCATTATTTTGGTAGCTTTCTCTGTACCTGTAACAAATATGTATGACGTCACATAATTATTACCTTTGTAGTATGGTAAAGTGAAGCCCATGGTAAAGTGATCTGTGGTTCATTTCACCATTATAGTGAAATGAAACCCCCCCTCATGGCAAAGTGAAGCCACTATATATTCTGTTTCCAATTGCTGTTTCTTCACTTAATTTTTTTTTCATTTTATCAGTTTACTTCATTATGTTCCTCAATACATAATAATAATAATAAAAAAAAATCAGGGTGGGGCAGGGGAGGTGAGGGTTCACTTCACCATGGCCAAGGTAAAGTGAAGCATCACACCATTTTCTTACTAATTAACTTTTTTTCACTAATGCACTTCATTCTGATTTCATCACACAAACACATATATAACAAAACCTTTGTCTGGGTTGGGGGAATTAAGGGTGGGTTCACTGATAAACAATGACACTTACCCGTAAATTTGATCCCATAAGGATGAAAAGTTCCAATATCTGACTCCATCACCATATCAAAGTTAGAGATATCACCCTGAATGGAAAACCACATCAACTGAAGGCTTGGCACATTTATGTAGTATTGTTAAATGCAAGTCTTATTTCTATCGTACTGGTATACCAATAACTAACAATTAATATTTATCATATTGAAAAGTTATTCAACAATTAAAAGTGAGATAACTCACAAAAATTAAGGTCATACATATACATTTAATAGATAAGCCAGTGACTTTTAGTCAATGTTGATTCAAAATGTTATAACAATATATTTATCTAAAGAAATAGTTTAATAACAGTATCTGAGTCAAAATGACCTAAGAGCAGTGCAAAGAACAAAAGCCTTTTGGTGATGTATGTATACAAGTTTCAGCACAAAATCTGAACTCATTCAGTATACAAAAGCCTTTTGGTGATGTATGTATACAAGTTTCAGCACAAAATCTGAACTCATTCAGTATACAAAAGCCTTTTGCTGATGTATGTATATAAGTTTCAGCACAAAATCTGAACTCATTCAGTATACAAAAGCCTTTTGCTGATGTATGTATACAAGTTTCAGCACAAAATCTGAACTCATTCAGTATACAAAAGCCTTTTGGTGATGTATGTATACAAGTTTCAGCACAAAATCTGAACTCATTCAGTATACAAAAGCCTTTTGCTGATGTATGTATACAAGTTTCAGCACAAAATCTGAACTCATTCAGTATACAAAAGCCTTTTGCTGATGTATGTATACAAGTTTCAGCACAAAATCTGAACTCATTCAGTATACAAAAGCCTTTTGCTGATGTATGTATATAAGTTTCAGCACAATATTTTAACTTTATAGATGGGAACATTGCAATGGAAAAAACTAGTCAGTCATGGATATGGAATGAAGGCCCTGAAGTTAAATGGTTGACCCAAGGTACCCTCGATTTTAATACCAGACCCATACTTGGGTACTCAACATATCTAACCAAATGTGAACCCTACCACTGTTGAATGAGATAATGCATTAAATACTTCAATCAGCTTTTGCTGTTGACAAAGACAGAAGACAGAACCTTTCCTTTTTTAATGTGTATCCGAGTACATATTTTTGAAGCCAGTTAATTCTCCAACCCGACCAGTGTCCTTCAGAAATGTGTTCACCTGTAATAATACTTAATATATAGATATTTCACCTTGTGTGCGTGATAATAGGCTTCAGCTCCGATTCCACCCATTTCCTGTAAAACAGCAAACAGTGATATTAGTATAATTGTACAGATTCAGACATACATTACGTATAAGTGTAATTATTGACCTGAAAAATTCTCCATTACTTTATGAATATAAGTATTAACTAGACACTTGGAACAGTTTAGCAGTGTTTGTACCTCTCTATTACAATGACCTGTTTATACTTACATGTATGATTCGTACACATTGTATTTCTGACTTCCCTGTCAAAATCCCGATAATCTATATATGACTCACCTCACCTGTCCATAGGACCATCCTCATTGTCCGTTTGGGTCGCAGTCCAAGTTGGGAGATCAAGGACAGCGCCTGATGATGATAAAGGGTACAGAAGGATTTGCTAGTATAAAATGAAACTAATTGAAATCTGACAATTGTTAAAGACAACGTTGTATTTTAGTTCTCAAAATTATGAAAATACACAGCATTGTTTATTGTTTTTCTTAATTCCACTTTTTACCCCTATTTAATTATCACTTCATCAATTTCATATATTATTCCATGTTCTGAATAATATTCTATAATCAAATATTACCTGTATTATTTTAAATTATAGTACCTGCCATGAGATAAATGCACCTCCGCCATCATCCATGGCTCCCTGACCAACATCCCAACTGTCCAGGTGTCCACCAAAGAGTACAACCTAGTGTAAACATCATCAGTATTACATTTCTTGTCTATTAGTAACGTGACCCTAGGATTTTAACACCGTTTGTGAGCCTCAGGTGATATATCCTTATCCTTCACATTTATACAAGAGTTTTAAAGTATATTAATCTTTCTACTTTAGTGTTAACTAAATTATGTATATGTCCCCTCAGGATTATTAATTAACACTCATTCATTATGCTATACATTGTAGGCTGAAAATATCTTATATGCTGTTTGATTGGCCAGGAATAACTGATATTCTGTTAGATTGGCCTAGAATAACTGATATTCTGTTAGATTGGCCTAGAATAACTGATATTCTGTTAGATTGGCCTAGAATAACAGATATTCTGTTAGATTGGCCTAGAATAACTGATATTCTGTTAGATTGGCCTAGAATAACTGATATTCTGTTAGATTGGCCTAGAATAACTGATATTCTGTTAGATTGGCCTAGAATAACTGACATTCTGTTAGATTGGCCTAGAATAACTGATATTCTGTTAGATTGGCCTAGAATAACTGATATTCTGTTAGATTGGCCTAGAATAACTGATATTCTGTTAGATTGGCTGAGAATAACTGATATTCTGTTAGATTGGCCTAGAATAACAAATATTCTGTTAGATTGGCCTAGAATAACTGATATTCTGTTAGATTGGCCTAGAACAACTGACATTCTGTTAGATTGGGCTAGAATAACTGATATTCTGTTAGATTGGCCTAGAACAACTGATATTCTGTTAGATTGGCCTAGAATAACTGATATTCTGTTAGATTGGCTGAGAATAACTGATATTCTGTTAGATTGGCCTAGAATAACTGATATTCTGTTAGATTGGCCTAGAACAACTGACATTCTGTTAGATTGGCCTAGAATAACTGATATTCTGTTAGATTGGCCTAGAACAACTGACATTCTGTTAGATTGGCCTAGAATAACTGATATTCTGTTAGATTGGCATAGAACAACTGATATTCTGTTAGATTGGCATAGAATAACTGATATTCTGTTAGATTGGCCTAGAATAACTGATATTCTGTTAGATTGGCCTAGAACAACTGATATTCTGTTAGATTGGCCTAGAATAACTGATATTCTGTTAGATTGGCTGAGAATAACTGACATTCTGTTCGATTGGCCTAGAATAACTGACATTCTGTTAGATTGGCCTAGAATAACTGATATTCTGTTAGATTGGCATAGAACAACTGATATTCTGTTAGATTGGCCTAGAATAACTGATATTCTGTTAGATTGGCCTAGAATAACTGATATTATGTTAGATTGGCCTAGAATAACTGATATTATGTTAGATTGGCCTAGAATAACTGAGAATAACTTTTTGTCTAACATTTTATTAGATTACCTGATTGCCGAATAGCATATTTTTTATTAAAAGTCTACCTCATCTGGGTACATGCTTCCCATCACCTCAGCCACTGTGTTCCTGGATTTGACAGATGGAAGGTTCTGGGCTCCCATCACCAGCTTCACTACGATCCTCTCACCTGCATGTAAATATAGCTATTACAGTAATGTTATTTTTACACAATCACACTGAACATTATTTTTAAAGAATTCCAATCCTTCTATTTTTTGCTGACCTGAATTTTTTGCCTAGATCCATGGAGCACTTTTCTTATCACGAATGGTAAATACCAAAATCTGTCTGTAAGAAATGAATGTCTCCACTCTCATGCAAATTACATTTTTGTTGTTGATGATTTTTAATAAGTATACAGTAAAAATGACCTTGACCTCGGAACCTCAAAAACATCAACTCATCCAAGGCATTCTCTTACTCTATCTTTGCACTATGTTTAATCCAAATCCTTAAAGAAATTAAGGCAGCTGTTAGATGGGTAACCTTGATTACAAACTGGAAAGACATTTTGGATTTTTTTTCGAGAGCATAGAAATAAAGATATCCAAAACAGAAACAGGAAACTGATGGTTACTGAGTGGGAAAATATTGGCTGCTGATTACAAGCATTTCCTTTGTTACAAAATCATGTTTGTGACTTGCCTCGCTGTTGCATTCGGTCCATCATCTCAGCATCCTCAACAGTAATACATGCTGTTGGAATCTTCTTCACACCATCAGTATAATCCTGAATTGATGGATAAGGCAATTGGAAAAAAAAAAAAAACAGTAACGTCATGAAGAACAGAGAAATGGCTATAAATATAAGGGTGTCAGTAAGTACAAACATGTGACTCCTTAGTACAGGGGTCATTTGATACAGAGGTCATTTAATACAGGGGTCATTTGATACAAAGAAAAATACACATGTTGATACAGAGGTCATTTAATACAGGGGTCATTTGATACAAAGAAAAATACACATGTATACAGTTTACCCATTTAAGTCCACTAGGTCAGGGACATCAATATGGAGCCAATGGCATATATAAAGCATAGCCAACTAATTTTACTGAGTAAGGTAACTCAGTATGGAGTCAATTCAGTATATACCCTGTAGCCAATTGACTCCATGGAGTAAGGTAGCTCTGTATCACGTCAATTCTGTATATACCCTGTAGCCAATTGACTCCATGGAGTAAGGTAGCTCTGTATCACGTCAATTCTGTATATACCCTGTAGCCAATTGACTCCATGGAGTAAGGTAGCTCTGTATCACATCAATTCTGTATATACCCTGTAGCCAATTGACTCCATGGAGTAAGGTAGCTCTGTATCACGTCAATTCTGTATATACCCTGTAGCCAATTGACTCCATATTAGGAAGGTCAGTGATGCACTCACTCGATACAAACAAGTCTTCAGTGTAACAATAACCTGAGATTATAAGCCTGAAAATTTTTTTTTGTATCTTACCTGCATGCCAGTATGTGGACTGTTGATGGATAGAGGGGTGACACTGCGTATCAGTGTCGCCACTGCCCCGTAAGCAGCTGCCCTGGATGCTCCATTACTGCGGTAGTCTACCGACTTACTGTAACCTTTCCACTCCTGGTTATACACCACAATCTTTCCCTTCACCTTAAGGAAATGATTTCACATTATCAATGATTTTTAGGTAAGCGTATCAGATCTAGATATTAGCAGCTATTCAGCATTGCACCTACCATGACAGCTATAGCTGTTTTCAAATAAGAATTGGTCTTGATTATATTAATCATACTACATTTTTCTTTCATCACTGAAGTTTGGGCCAAGTCTGAATTAGAAGGCATATGCTGGCAAATCTGACAAAATGTCAAAATAAAAATACTGTTAGATATCACAACAAGAGGTCCAAGGGGCCTTCATTGCTCACCTGGCCAATTTTGCGATGCAGACATTTAACAAAGAATTTCTCAGTCTTGAGGTCAAACAGAACTCAGATTAACTATTCATAAAAATGGCTTCAGATCTAACTTGGACAATATCCTGGTATGGAAGAAGGATTTTTAAGAACCGCTTCCGTTCACGAAAGGATGCTTCTGACCACATTTAGGCAAAATCCAACCATTCCTAAGTAGGACTTTAAGGAATATTTGCTTTATTTTCCCACTGCACCAGGTGACCAGAATCCACTGTTTATAAAATATTTCTTTCCTTTTACTGACGAATGCTTCAGATGAAATGTTGGCAATATCCATTCATTCCTACAGGTGTAGAATTTTAAAGAGCTTGAAAAATTTCCCATTTTGAGCCCAACCGCTCAGTCCCTTGGGGGGGGGGCTGAGAAGCAATGCCAACACAAACTTTGTTCCCCCTCATCCAAGGATGCTTCTGACCAAATTTGGTCAAAATCTGATGAGTTGTTCATGACCAGTAGCCATGCCATAAACTCATAGATCCTTTGGACCAGGTGAGCTAAAATAAAATCCAGGTGTACAATCACAACTACATGGAATACTGACATTAACTGCTTTTACATCTGGGTATCAAGATTTTAAAAGTCCAAATGAAAGTTCAGTATAATATCATTTTTATTCACACAATTGAAAAGAAAGGAAAATTCTTACTATAAATTTCTGCAAAATTCTAAAATTCTGCATTTCCATATAGAAATGAAACTGAACTCATATACAGTAGATTTAAAACAAGTAATTTGACTTACATTTTGAGTAAGAAATATAAGCAATAAATTAAATATGTTCATTAGTGTTCATTATCATTTTTTAGAAAAGTCTATGAGAGAAATAATATAACTTGTTGTCAGTAAATGTATAACTTATTTTTACAATGTCATGTTCACTTTTCAAAACAAATTACAAATTTTCCCAAGATATGAAAATGTAACAGCACTTTAAGCACCGATTTTAATTATAATTCCTTGTCCTAATGACTACAGACAAAGGTCTACCCCTTGCTCCAATCTCTGTGATAACTGTGGATACAATTAAAACAATTTTTCAGGGGATTTATCCATCAAAACCTCTGAAATCTACGGTCACACCTTATCCTTACCTGCTTTGAATGTTGATCAAGGTCATCCCATGACCTTACTACGATGACCTCTGATTGTATACCTTCTTCAGGAGTTCCAACACTGGAGCCAAGGCCAAGAAGTGCAAGTTTCTTTCTTCTTGGTGACAGCATTTCTGCTGACTCCTTTCCTCGCACCCAATGAGGCACCTGTAACATCAAAACTATATTCCATCAGAGCATCACTGTTGACTCCTCTCATCACACCTAGTGTAATACAATATGATACAACGTGTTACAGTATTATACAATGTGTTACAGTATGATACAGTATGTTACAGTATGATACAAAGTGTTACAGTGAAATACAATGTGTTACAGTATGATACAATGTGTTACAGTATATTACAGTATGTTACAGTAAGATACAATGTGTTACAGTATTATACAATGTGTTACAGTATTATACAATGTGTTGCAGTATGATACAATGTGTTACAGTATGATACAATGTGTTACAGTATGATACAGTGTGTTACAGTATGATACAATGTGTTACAGTATGATACAGTGTGTTACAGTATGATACAATGTGTTACAGTATGATACAATGTGTTACAGTATTATACAGTATGTTACAGTATGATACAGTGTGTTACAGTATGATACAATGTGTTACAGTATTATACAGTGTGTTACAGTATGATACAATGTGTTACAGTATTATACAGTGTGTTACAGTATGATACAATGTGTTACAGTATTATACAGTGTGTTACAGTATGATACAATGTGTTACAGTATGATACAGTGTGTTACAGTATGATACAATGTGTTACAGTATTATACAGTGTGTTACAGTATGATACAGTATGTTACACTTTACAGTTGTACATACATATACAACATCACAACTACAATAAATTGAGTGATGTGTTTATTTCAGTTTCTCTTACTATGGCATCTTCTCCATGAACATTTTCCAGCCCATCTTCTTTCAGTTTTTCCAGTAAGTAATCTGTAAAAATGAAGTAAAATGGAACGTTTTTAATCACTGTCAGCTTCAAATCACATCTAGCACAGAAAGTTTCAGTGAAAATGGTATGTGCTATAATCAAACTAAGGTGTCAGGCCCGAAAGTAAAAAAGTGCAAGAATTTCTATCATTTCTGTACAGGCAAATGATTGCTATATATTCTTATATATTGAAAACTGTTTTCTAAACAAGGTAAGTGATGATCCTTTTTCATCAATTTCAGACTGAAAATGCCAAAGACTATGATATACTTGGGTATTTAAAAATCCTATTTCAGATTGAAATAGCTGAAAATGATGTGTATACCTGGGTATTTGAAGATCCTCTTATTCTGAGATATGAACAAAAGTCCTTTATGAACTCCTCTAGTTAAAATCTATTCTGCTATTCTGAGATATGAACAAAAGTCCTTTATGAACTCCTCTAGTTAAAATCTATTCTGCTATTCTGAGATATGAACAAAAGTCCTTTATGAACTCCTCTAGTTAAAATCTATTCTGCTATTCTGATATGAACAAAAGTCCTTTATGAACTCCTCTAGTTAAAATCTATTCTGCTATTCTGAGATATGAACAAAAGTCCTTTATGAACTCCTCTAGTTAAAATCTATTCTGCTATTCTGAGATATGAACAAAAGTCCTTTATGAACTCCTCTAGTTAAAATCTATTCTGCTATTCTGAGATATGAACAAAAGTCCTTTATGAACTCCTCTAGTTAAAATCTATTCTGCTATTCTGAGATAGAACAAAAGTCCTTTATGAACTCCTCTAGTTAAAATCTATTCTGCTATTCTGAGATATGAACAAAAGTCCTTTATGAACTCCTCTAGTTAAAATCTATTCTGCTATTCTGAGATATGAACCAAAGTCCTTTATGAACTCCTCTAGTTAAAATCTATTCTGCTATTCTGAGATATGAACAAAAGTCCTTTATGAACTCCTCTAGTTAAAATCTATTCTGCTATTTTGGACAGGTATAGTTTTATTCTTAATGGAAAAAATACATGGATGATTTCCCATCATGATGCATAAGGGCTAGTGAACTAATGAGAAATGATCAGCTGAAGAATGTGACTATTTAAATATTCACTAAATGAAGTGAAGCCTTGTATTCTCAATACTTAAAGCATCTGCTTAGTTGTGTATTGGTAAAACAGGATTATGAATAAATTTATTCTTTGGGTCATACAATCATGTTCAACATATAATTTATGTCAGTGACATATCTGTTAATGAAATTAACTGTCAATAATTTGATTAAAACAATCAGACATATTAGAATGGAATTAGAGAAAAACCTATAGAATCCTCCAGGTTTTGGGTTCCAACAAGTCGATATCCAAATTTGTCCACAAATGTAGCTAGTCTGTCATAAGACTGGTTAGCAGCTGGGCCTCGCATGGACCTTTCTATGATCTGGTCAGCAATGCCTTGTAACATAGGTACATCATTACACAATCATGTTACCATTACTATCAACACATCTGCATACATTGGTTGTAATCCATATTGTTTTATGTCCTATCAACAGCAAGGGTCATTAAGGACAGCTTTCAAATGTATGCAAGGTGAGTGCATATGATGCTTGCAATAGGTTTACAGCTGTACCTTGCTGATGTATATTGTCGAAGGTCCCAAGCACTACAAGCATATGTAATATGTGAAATCATTAATGAACTTTATATGAGTTTTATATAACATCAAGACTTCTGTAATACCAGCCCATATCTCACACAGGATCTGTGTAATATCAAGAATGAGGTTAACATATCTACTTAAGATTATCAAAATTTCCACCTTTGACCTTAACACATTTTCCTCCTAATATGTTTCTCACCTCTATATCCCTCTATCTCTTGTTGCCAGTCCTCCAGAGGGCGCTCTTTGTTTCCTGGTAACCATCCTCTAGGGGATAAGTTAAAGATATCCCCAATGACCTCTGATCTTTCAAACTTGAGGGTGGCACCAAAGGACAAACTGGGAAAATTGATTACTGTAAATAGAACACAGCATCATCAGCTCTCAGAACCTCAGTTGCTATCTACTAATTATAATGAACTTAAACCAAAACATCAGACCCTTCTATAAGGTTTTAGCCAAACAGTTGCTGCTATATACAGACCAGTTGGAGACTGTACTTCAGTTACGGTCAAAAGGGCGCTAATTGATTTGTGGATTTCGTTAAAAATTATTAGCAAATTTAGGTTTCAATCTGTTTTGATGCATTACCATTACACAGTGTCATGTCTAAGGTGAATATTATAGTTAAACCTTTGTTGATTTTAGAGGACAATAAGAGATTTCATTAACTATTAACAAAATTAATTCACCACTGTAGAATTAAGTGTTCTGCAAAGTAAGTCGGTTGCATTTCTTTTCATAAAGTTGCAGGATGGAAATGGAGCATTAATTGATAACAATGTACTGATTAATATTTTCATATTCGTATGACCTATATGTAATACAATGGTTTATTGAAATTGGTTCAGCATGCAAGCTTTTAAAGGTATGTGATACTTTTCACCATGCCAAATCAGGGGTCTAGAAAATATTTTAAACCACTAAGCACAGGACTGGTGGGATGAAAAATTTACTCGTCCAAATTCAGCTATGAAATGGCGACTTAATCAGCGAGGATGTGACATGTGACTTTTTTCTATATATATATTTTTTTGTAGTTTTAGTGAAAAAACTATGCAGTGATGGCTGCTTTGCATCAGACATTGTGCGCGACTTAGGCCTAGGCGTAGTGTTTGTTTACATCCGACTGACTAGGTGCTGTTAAGAACGAGAGCACCTGACATCCGTATGACCGCGGGAAAATTACTAAGGTATTCCGAATGCTATATTTGACATCATGTGAGTTCCGGTGTAATCAAAAGTTAGAGTAAAGACTGGAATATTTTGTTTTCAAAGTACCGTAAACATGTTTCTTTGTTTTGAATTTTCTTTACATTTTTATTGAAATTTAAGTTGTAACATTAATATCATTGGAAAAAAATACTCGTCCAACGGACGACTGACAAAGATAAATCTGGTTGTCCGAGACAATTTTTACTCATCCATGATGACTGAACAAGTGTTTTTCCGGACCCCTGGCCAATGCAATTTAAAATTTATTAGATATCATTATCTTTTAAGGTACAATGTACATGTATTTCTGTCAATATTGATGTAAAATATATCATCATTATCAATACATGTACATGATATATGCATATCGGTCAGTTGGTTTAACTAGAGCAAATTAGTGTTATTGGTAAAATTCTAGAAAAAATAGTTAGAGATAGCATTGTTAATCACATGGACAGAAACGGTTTTCTTAATAATAGGCAGTTTGGTTTTGTGGCGGGAAGATCAACACAATTACAACTTCTCACGGTATTAGAAGAGAGGATGGAAACTATTGATAATGGAGGTCAACTTGATATAATATAAATTGACTTCATGAAGGCCTTTGATAAAGTGTCTCATCAACGTCTTTTGAAGAAGCTAGCTGGTTATGGTATCAGTGACCAAGTTATTAACTGGATACTTCATTTTCTTAGCAACAGGAAGCAGAAATAGTAAATGGAGAGTCATCAAGTACCTTTCCTGTTTTAAGCGGTATTCCACAGGGAAACGTGTTAGGCCTAATATTATTTGTTGTTTACATATATGATCTTCCAGAAGTGCCTATATCACCATCTCCACTGTTTGCAAATGATACAAAACTTTACAGGGAAATTAGAAATGATGACGACAAGAATTTGTTACAGAGCAATCTCGATAACCTTCAGAAATGGCCAGATCAATGGTTATTGAAGTTTCACCCAAACAAGTGCAATGTAATTTCTATAAGGGCCAAAGAGAAGAGACATTATGATATGTTAGGAGGAACAGGAGAGAGAATACAACTAGAAAACACCTCATCTGAAAACGATCTCGGAATAGTCATTGATGAAGAGCTTAATTACTGGGTACATATACAACAAGCCGTAAATAAAGCTAACAGTATCACAGGTTTGATTAGAAGAACTTTCATGTACCTCGATGCAACCATGTTAACGATGTTGTTTAAGGCTTTAGTAAGACCTCATCTGGAATATGCTGCCAGCGAAGAGCGACTAAACTTATTGCCGGATTCAAAGATTTTTCATACTCTGTGAGACTGGAAATTCTGCGTTGTCCAATGCTAAATACCGAAGGCTATGTGGGATATGACCAATGTATTTAAGATTATGATCATTTTGTCGATGAGAGAGTAACAGGAAACCTTTTCCAAATGGATAACACGGACAGAACAAGGGGCCATTCCCATCGTTTTTTAAAGAAACGGTGCCGATTGGAAGTCAGAGGAAACTTTTTAGCTAAAGGGTAGTTGAGTTTGAAATAGCTTACCCTAGTCTTTGGTAGATGCTACCTCGGTGAGACAGTTTGAAATCAAACTTGATGAACACTTGAAAGATGATATGTATCGTATGAACTAAATCTCTTTTCCCTTCGTTTTAAAGGACAACGTAAATAGTTTATTACGGAAAATATTACAATAAGCTGCTAACTTGATCCTCTTTGAAATTGCATCAGAAGTTATGTACACATACTTATATTATTATTATATTATTCATTGATATTAACATACAGGCTTAATGCCTGCGTTCATCATGTATCATATTAAATAATATTAAATATATTGCACCATACTGTTCTCAAATAGCGGAAAACTGCTCCGAGTATCACCCACTTTCCGTGTTGTTTATGTTGCATTTCACAAGTTGCAATAAACAGTCATGTAATAAGACAATATTTATGTCATGAAAGGTCACCGGTCAAATTGGTCATCAACATGTAAATAATCTATGTAGAATTCTTTCCATAAGCACATCCCCAAACAATAGAAATTCAAAGGTCAATATATGGATCACCACATGACAGGCAAAATATATATCAAACTGTTCATTAATTCTGTGCTGTTCAATAAATTTGAAGACGTCATAATAATTAACTAAGTTTTGTGAAAGTTCTATATATGGGTCAACAAAGGTCACTTGTTAAAGTGTTAATTGTTTATCAGTTTGAATAAATGTGGCATTTTTTTCCCATTAAAATCTTGAAGCATTGTAAAGTTGTGCCAATTAATGGATATATATGTATAAAATACTGTCCGAGTATGCATGTCACATGGGCTGCTCACTTGTACAGGTCAAAGTTCATTTAATAATTTATCAGTTGTTATTTTATACATACATAATATTTATATAACAATTACCACCAACTTACCGTAAATAGTGAGAAAGTGTAACGCTCTCCAGAATAGCAACATGACTAATTGTCAACTACCTATAGCCAGGTAGGAAGCAGAATTTTCTGATGACAACGTTTTAAAGCTTACGATATGCTTAAAATGCCAAGACACTTCTGACAAGACTCTTGGTGTGTTGTCTTATGAGTACCCTACTTCACCGCCGCACGCCAGTAATGTTACGGTCCGTTTACGTTTTTAATTGTAATGCTTACTGCTTACAGGGCCACAACTCCTTGCGTTAAAACGTTCAGGAGATAGGACGTTTGCATGGTTCCTTTATGTGCCGACTCTTACAAGCGATGCATGGCGAGATTTTTTTTATCGTCGACTTTGCTTTGTGGCAGGTATTTGGACTACCTGAGTAACCTGTAAGGTAAATGTACTTATATGAGGAGGAAGAGGAGAAAAGTCAGCTACGTGTACTGGTATTTTCACCGAATCGAGAGAAGTAAAACGATGGCGAACGTGTCGAAAGTGAAAGTAGGCAGGGAAGGGCTGCTGAAGAAGTTAGAGGAATTGAGCATTGAAAGCACGACCATTGAACACCCGGAGGTATGCATCTTTAGATCTAACAAATGTGCGTTATAAACAGAAACGTGTAATGTTGATTCCAGACAAGGGAGGTAATTTTAACAATTGTTATACAATAAGAAGTAGTAATAAAATTTAAAACAAACTTCTACCACTTTGGTTCGAACAGAACGTGATATATACGTTTCTGGTTCGAACTAGCGATACTTCGGTCTCTAGCGCTCAACCACAGGGAAATTTCCAAAACTCGCTTAAAAAGTGACCGGAACTCTCAACTTCTAGTTATACAAATGTAAATCATACTTTATACAGGAATATTGGATCACTTCTCACCGGACTCTCCGGGTTTTTGACGAATCTGTATGATCTCTCCCATCCTTTATATTGACACAATCATCAGTATATTGTTGGAGGAGGTCGCTTAAGGTGTAGATGTACATATACTAGGTAGTATATTGTATAGAAAGCAGTCAAGCCAATTTGTGTTTAATGAAATGGATATACAGTGTGTATTGGGGCTGAAGTACATTGTTGTAGCCATCATTATTCATGTACCTAATGATTATTAATAAAATCACTTCATTTACATCTGAAATGACAATTTCAGTGCAGTGAATATAAATCACCTTCTCTTAAAAACAAAAGAAAAAAGACAAACACATCCTTTCTACTGCAATCAGTGGTGATACATTACAGTTTCTGAAATTTCATTGACAAAAATGCAATAACTTTTTCTGATCTTCTGAATCACTGCGATGAGGGAAATTTCTACTCTATGGATATTTATTGAAATTTTTGTTGTTTTTCAGTTTGGAAATTAATTTTGATTCATCACAAGAACTTGATTTTTGGTCTATTTGTTTACAGGTATTTACAGTTGAAGAGGCACTACCCCATGTCTCACACCTTGAAGGTATGTTTGCCAAGAATTTGTTCCTGCGGAGTAAGAAGAAGAAGTTGTATTTGTTTTGTGCTCCACATGATGCTGATATCAAATTAAATGATCTTGCTAAGTTGTCTGGTGCCTCCGGAGGCCTACGGTTTGCAGATGAGTCAGTGTTGGAAGAAAAGCTGGGTTTAACACAAGGCTCAGTGACATTGTTTGGGCTCATCAATGACCATGCTAAGGATGTGACATTAGTATTGGACCGACAGCTATTGGATGGTTCCTACACCAAAATCTACTTCCATCCAATGGTGAACTCAGCATCCACTGCCATCAGCTCAGCAGGAATTCAAGCTTTCCTCCAGCATACTGGACACGAACCTCTCATTGTGGATGTAGCAAAGACTACTGATGAATCTCAAAATTAATTATATAGGTACATTTTAGTTAATTTTTAGTTTTACATTTAAAAATAACTTTTTCCTATCATTTCTTAGTTCAGTGAAATAGTGTTAAGATCCAATATATCCCAGGATTTAGATTATGTTGGATGGATTTTTAACTCAACTTTGATAATTGAATAAAGTATTTGTGATTCATAACTATGTATATTAGGGAACTGGCACAATTATACTTAGTTTTTATACTGTATATATGCTTTATATATATACTGTTATAACTGATACTTAAACAAGAGTTTTTTTTTTTTGTATGTATTCATCCTATCTTTTGATGCTATTTTTCAACTTAAGTCCTTTTCTTGAGTAAAGATTGAGGCATGGATCAGGGTTTTCCATAAGAGCCGGTTGCCGGCCAATTTGACCGGCTACTTTGATCATTTGGCGGCCTACACCAATCCAGTTCCGTAATAATGTTCCGTACACGACTACACGTACACGGCAGGCCAGCCTCCAACTTTCACTACACAGCCTACTTCTAACAAAATTATGGAAAACCCTGATGGATACAGACTAATTATAATTCCATCCATGGTATGATTTCTATATTGTGAAACATGGTTTTTAAAATAATGCGCAATCTTGAAAGATTCTCTAAATAAATTTGGGAAAACATACACAAATGTTTACCAGTTACATAGAACATTGGATATATTGTACAATACTGATAAAGTTGCAGTCTGTTATGTAACATATATTCGTTTATAATTGCAGTATGTGTAGTAAATATTTCAACAAGGATTGGCAGTATTAAACAACATCTAATGTTATTACCCAAGCTGTAACAAGGGGGTAGGGTATGCTGCTATCAGATTGTCTTCCTGTAGACAGATTGGACAAAATAAAACTCCCTAATCTTAACCAATTTTTATATATTCATTAACTTGATGAATACATAGTGTGGTTATGAACTTGTGATTAAATTTTCATATTGATAATTTTCAAGGGGTTGTGTGTGTCTGTGTGTGCAGTTTTTTTAAGGGGGGGGGGGGGGGGGCGGCGAGGGGGCTGGGAAATATAAACCTTTACATTATAGTTTTACCTCATTAAATTCCGACAAACTGCCACCAACTTTGCCTGGCCTTGTGCAACTAATTTTTATTACAACTGAAAAGTTTGTTACTGTGGGAAAGATTTACAATCATAATCAGGATGGAATATGATCAGTGCACTATATTCATGATCAATAAAACTTTCAAAACTTATATTGGTGTGTTTAGTTTTCCTTTTTTAATTTTGTCATTTCTTGTGATAACCATAAAAATCCATGTATTCCAGCTCTTTCAGTCTAATGGTGCTTATAAAAACATACAGTACATCATGATTTTGTATTTAAGATCCAAACATTAAGAGTTCATTGATAGACATCCTTAACAGAATTAGAAATCATGACAAGATTTTATGGATAAAAGTTGATGAAGACTATTCAAAAGATTGAAGAACTTGACAATATGGTTTCACCTTAAGATTTACATCACATGTTGATGAGAGAATTTCTGATCTTTTTCTGCTTGTACTTTTTCAGGTTTGTCTGAATGCATTTTCTCTATGTATGTATTTTATCTTTGTTATGTTGATATGAATTACGATTTGGTTGGTATTTTAATTATGGGACTGTCCAGAAAAGCAAAATGGTTGACAGATGGCCATCTTTAGTTTTGACTATGAAAGTTTATCATTATTATTTCTAAGGAAGGATACTGAATTGATCTTTCTTGGATTTCATTTTCCCTCTGACCCTACTTGTGCCCATTTGCACTTATTTGTCAGAAGAATTTTCAAATTTCATATAATGAGCAAAAGCACGATGACAACTGCCAAGATAAATAAATTTGAGCACAAGATGGTTGACCAAAGAAAGGAGTAATGATTTGATGATGTATCAGAATGTAGGAAGATATCTCGGATAAACAATAAAAAAAACATACAAATATATGTTCAAATATGGTCAGTATGACATCATTCTACACAAGGATCGAGATTGAATTATAAAGATTTTAGCTGTATCTGTTTGCTGGTTTAGTAGTAATGTTCAGTTGACTGTTACAATAAACAAACACCCTCTTACTGTTAATACTTGTGGTTTAGTGGGTAGGTTCTATTAACATTTACAATAAACAAACACCCTCTTACTGTCAATACTTGTGGTTTAGTGGGTAGGTTCTATTAACATTTACAATAAACAAACACCCTCTTACTGTTAATACTTGTGGTTTAGTGGGTAGGTTCTATTAACATTTATAGGAAACAAACACCCTCTTACTGTTAATACTTGTGGTTTAGTGGGTAGGTTCTATTAACATTTACAATAAACAAACACCCTCTTACTGTCAATACCTGTTGATTAATTAATTTATTTATTTTGTGTATAACAGTATACACCTATGTACATCTACAGAAGGTTTTCGGGAATTTTCATGAAACATTCAAAACAAAAGACTGTTGTAAAAGGTCACTTGAGATTCTGTCTCATGCCTAGGTGAGCTACTGTCCAAATCAAATGATATACTTGGGGAAGTTCAAGTTCCTGTTAACAAATACTGTTTCTAGGAATTCGAAAATCAAAATGAAAGTAGGAATTCCAATTAATTATCCTGATTTCTGAAAGCGACTTCAAAAGATAGTGGGTAGGTTCTATTAACATTTACAGTAAACAAACACCCTCTTACTGTCAATACCTGTTGATTAATTTATTTTGATTATAACAGTATACCAACAACCACTGTAAATGTACTTATTCAGCACAAAAAAAAAACATAACTTCATCAACTGAGTGACAGAGTCTGCAATGTCACAACAACCTGCTTCACTTAAAACTATTTTTCACCACCACAACCTGCAGGATTTTGTTAGGCACTAATGTAATAGAATAGGGAAAACCACATACCTGTCAAGTGCCACAACATGAATCGAACCCTTAAGGATCACTTGCATGATAATCCATGGCTGTTTGAGTCAAAGAAATATGCTCTGTCAGCTGAATGACCGAGTCTGTATTTAACACTTACATGTGCAAGCCAGTACCAACCTGCTGCTTTTACTGTTTAACTGTTAAGTGTCAGACTATCCGACTAGTGATCCAGTCGTCCAGGATTAAAAATTAAAGATTAAAGATGGCGCTATTTTGGATTCATTTCAAAAATAAAGAAAAAAGTATATAATTAGTTTGTAACTATCATGTGATAATGTTTGAGGTTTATCAAACTTCCATAGGGAATGAAAGTTCAAGAGAACTGGCTATGATTTAAGAAAAATAGTAATGGTTATCTTGACTCAACAACTCTGAAACTTCTTCAATAGAATTTGAAGACTTTTAAGTGTGTGAAGTTTGATATGAATCACTCCAGGAATGAAGATGTTGGAGTGCCAACAAAGAATTTCTAAAAAATTGTAATGGTGACATTGACTAACAACCCTGAAACTCAATGTATCAAGTTGGCTAAGCCATGTTCAAATAAAGACACAAAACCTGTTGAGAGTTCTAACCATAGTTTACTGTCAAACCGAAAGAGTATGAACTCTGTGACTATATGAAAATAAAACAATATAACTACACTGTACATAAACATCGGACAAATATAGACTAAAACATATTAGTATGGAACATCACTATCATTCAAATAAAATATGATACAATTGACTACTAACGAGTAACTTGATGATATCAATATGAACTATGTCCAGACAAGTACGGACATACAGCATATGAAATAGATAATAGATTCAGTACAAGCAGGGAAGTATAATACAGATTATACGTCCCTAGTACAAGTATGAAAGTATCTGCAGTTATGATGAAAACATTATGTATAAATAAACTGGCTAGATTACCTGTGTTGGGCACAAAGTTTGTCAACATTTTGATATTAATGGTCGTAAAGGTAAAGTTTGTAAAGTTACAAATGAAACCTAAAACTTTGAGTGTAAATGAATAGACTGTAATCCTGATGAAAATATCAGAATATAAATTGAAATAAATGACATTCCAGCAGATCCAAATAGATTAATTTGAATTGCAATGTCATAAAGATACGAAAATACAGGTTAAGTATAGCCTAATCTTAGCAATACCTAGATTAGAGTGTCCATCCTAATGATCAAATACAATAACAATTGGTGGGAGTGTGGCGGATATCAAAATAAATATAAACCTACTTTACTGGTTCGCAGGTATTTCACGAATACTGTTACCAAAGTGTCCGATCTATCTGTCAGTCAATCAAACAATGACCGGAAATAAATGCATATTCAAAAGAACCAATGAAATAAGATGTAAGACTGTGATGTAAGACAAAATTCAGCTGACCAATTACCACATGACACTATATAAAAGGGCAATAACAAGATTAACCACTTAAGCATACATAAGACCAGAGACGTATATAACACAGATTAAAATACATAGCGTTACATTGTTCCGGTCTAGCAAGCAGAACGTAAATGTAAAATTTGTCTTGTGTTATTAATGTCTCTTATAAGACTAATAAACAAGGTTTAACAATTACGGAGACAAAACAATTAACATTATATTAAGTCAATCCTGCCACATCCATTTTGTCTAAGATACAATATAGTTCAATGCTTTATAGAGGGCGAAGCTCATTAACAGAAATTGTACATGACAATTTATGGTGTGCAATTGTGTCTATTTCGACTATTGAATTTATTTCATTCTTACAATCGTTGCCAGATTATATATTGCTTCACATTTTACTAGGAGGTCCTCTGGCCTATCAGTTAGACAAACATGATTTTGAACAATTTAGACTGAAGTCAGCATGTTCTATAAAAAGGATGCTTGAACTATATGGCTATGTATAGTGGAAGCCTTCTGTATTATATACACTTAAAACCTATTATTGTGACATATATACTTAGTATGTAATTATTTCATAACATTATAACTTGCAAGATAATTCTTCATGGAGTATAAATTACATAAAACTAACATATTGTATGTATAATCATAATTTGTAACATCTACAATGTACATTAATTTCCACCTTAATTGTAAGCTTTTCAAGTTGATTTATTCTGTAATTTGTATGTAATGCTCTTCATCTTTGGAGGAAATAAAGACAATAATAATTGAATCTCGAAGAATACCTCGCAGAAAAGGTTATGTTTACTTTAATTGCAAAACGCAAATCTGCAGGCCTACAGCTAAGATTTTTTTAAAATTCGTGTTCATTTACAAACTCGAAATACACCCATATTGTCATATCGCACTAACTTTGCGTCTTTCTTCCAACATTACTATGACCGGTCAAAATACACATCGTCAATTTGATTGGTCAAAATCGAAATTTCCGCCTGTGAGTATTTTTTTCATTTAGATCTTCAAATAATGTTCCTTGCCCTACCGAAGAAAACGAGTCGCTTTTCAATACACATGAATAAACTTTGCACATGTTTTGTGAGCATACGCATAACGATCACTCTGATTGGTTGGAAATGCTGACGTCTGCTACGTAAAATTAGTATCAAAATAACAACAAGACAACGTGCTGCCGGAAAAAAGTACAAGACCTGGCCGGGAAGAAGAGACGGAGCAAAATTCACAAGGATGTGATCAGGAAAACAAAATGATAGGATACTAATGATGAAAAATACTTTTATAGATATTTTTGATATAAAAAGCATGATGTGGATTTTCTTTTAACAAATAACAAGTTTAATGTGCCATGTCTTGGTGAAAACAAATGTCTTTATTGTGAAACACACGTTTGAAATTAATTGAAGTTGACCTTTTCAGATCTATATATATTTGTTGAAGCAAGTGCTGGAATACTGTGGGGAATTCTCGAGTCTGTGCTGTGACATGAGTACAACATTTTTTCCACTTTATCATAACAAATATTAGGCATTATATGCACGATGATGCAGATTTTAAAAGAAACTTGCCAAAATAATTTGTTTTTCTTATAAACTAACCAATTTTACAGTACACAATACTATTTCTATCTTTTAGTATT